CTTTAGTGAGGCTGTTTTGGATCCTTCAGTTCTGGTTTTAATCTTGCAATTTAACATATTTGCTGCTTTTAAGCAATGCAAGCTCCTGCTTATAATAAAAAAAAATATCCCTGCAGCTCTTTGTGTTCGACCTTGAAAACCCTCTCATAGACTGGAACCACTCTTAATGTCTTAAGCTAAACTGTATCAAATCTAAAAACATACTATTATTGGCATTAAAAGGGAGAGGGAAATCTCAGAAAACTATGTACATGCTACATGTGTATTCTGAGATTTTTCTGAATGCCTTTGTTTTTACACTATGTCTTGTATTTTGTTAGTGAAAAAGGACTTACAGCACATTTACCAATGAAACTTGCTGTAAAGTGCTCTTGCATTGTCTTAACAAGTCCCTTTTGTTTTGGGATTTTTTTTCTCTTTCAGTGGGACTTGGTTTCTGAGATTCTCAGCTAGTAAAAAATTGGATTTAATTTCATAAATCATGTCTCTTCTGAAGATATTTCTCCAAGTCTTAAAGACTATTTTGGGTGCATGGTAGAAAATTACTTTAAATTATTTTGGTTGATGTCAAATTAAGATGTTTATATATAGGAAGCTTATCGCTTTGTCAAATATGTGTCTTTAATTTTGCCTATTTGTTCTACTTTGCTTTTTTTTGGCCATTTTTGGGAATTGGAAATGAATGAAAGCATTGAAGTAACTTTGCCAGTTATACACTTAGCAGGGTGTGTCGTCTTCACTGGAGACAGCATGTGTGCCAAGTCTGAAATTTTATTAGGATGTCTATTTTCTGAATAAATACCAAGGAAGATAAAAATACTGACCTACTCAAAACTGGGAGTGAGAACCCTTGTCCTAAACAAGACAAAGATCTGAATTCTTTGGCCAGAAGCCAACACTTCTTTTTGAAGGAAATAGATAATTGGGCTATACAAAGATTTTTGATGAACCCAAGTTAAATGACAGTTAATCAGCTTGACTTAATCAGCCTCCAGAACTGTGTTTTATGTAAGGTCTTGGAGATCAGGAGTTGTGTGGAGACTTCTTGGCCAGAAGGGATCCATTTCAATAAACTAGAAGATCTCCTGAAGTCAGGCTGATGAAGGTGCTTTTTTGGAATGAAGTAGAACCTTGGTGCAGTCAGACACAGAGTAATAGTGAGTGACAATTTGCTGATGATTCAGCTGTGTGGTCAGTGGTGACTTGGTTCAGAAATGCCTCTGGGAGATGGAGATGTTTTCAACCATGGAGGTTGTTGGAAGTGGATTTTTCAGAAAGGTAAATTGTGAAAATTCCACATATGAATAACTATACCCAGAAACTGTGCAGGAAGAGACCTGGGCTTATATGAGTGAAACAGCTCCACATGAGAGAGCTTTGCCTGGGTTGTTGCATCATTGGGCTGGAGTTTGTCTGCTCTGTAAAATACCTTTCCATGCCATGTGTGCTGGGTTATACATGTGTGTGCTGCTGCACATCTTCTGCCCTTCAGAGCTGTTGATACTCTCCCTTTCTCAACTCCAGAAAGCCTTTCCATCATTTGTTCATTTGTAAGGCTCAAGTTACAAGCTTCTTAAAAAGAAAACGGGGTTTTTTCCTCCCTTATAGAAGAATTTATTCCTTGTGACTTGTTTTGGGTGGGTTGGGTTTTTCAGAGTGCTGGATTTTTCATGGCACACTTTTACTCATCAAAGGGTATCTCCTTCCCATGGTGTCAGTTTTCAAGTCTGCCAACTTTAAAGTTTTTTTAAAATCCAAGCAGGCATTTCAAAGTGATTTAAGGATGCAAAAAGTACTCCCTCAATACATTTGAAAGGTTCTAAAATTTCATCCCTTAGATGCTCAATTCTAATCAGTTTGTTGCAGTTTTTCCATGTATTGCAAATCTTTATGCCAAATACTTCATTCCATGAAACAAAGGGCTGCTTGCTGATAAAAAGAAGGCAAAGCTGACTTTGGGGGAGGATGCCTCCTAGTCAGTCTAGTTCTGTTTGGGCACTGAATGAGAAATCCAATACCTGCACTACTTGCACCATGCAGTAATTAAATACTCAGCAAGCAGCTGCTTCAGTCTGAATAAATGCTTTATACTGGCTTAATTTTAACCATTTTAATCAGCTCATGTCTAGGTGATTTCTACTGCCATTTTAATTCCTCTTTAACATGGGCAACTTTTGCATACAAAGAGGACCTAATTCTTCAGTCTTTTGTGGTTTGCTGTGTTCTGTGTCTGCACACATCTGTCACTGTAGTGACAACAAGCATCAAAACTACTTCATAGCTCCTGGGTGATACTGAACTGCCAATGGGAGCTTTGCTGCCAGCTTATGACACCTAGAGTTTTATATAAAATTCATCTTAAAATGTAACGTGTACTCTTTACTAACATTTGATATAACTGATGTTTTATGAATCCTTGTGCTTTGTTCTCCAGATACTGCTGGGTGTATAGTAAAGTTTCTAAGAATACATGTATATATATAAAGTTTCTTTTACTTGTACAACCAGTGTTTATATAACAAGCTGTTTTTATTAAAGTTCTGTGCAAAGTTTCTCAATCTTTAGGAGAATCAAATGCTGGCAGAACTTGTGATCAGCTGTTTTGACTTTTACTGAAAAGATGGTGTAATGACTCGCTCTGTGCAAGAAATTGGATGAACTTTCTCACAAAGTATATTTAACTTGAAACAGCCTGTTCTTGTGTGACTAACTCTTCTGGACCAAATTATTTTTTTTTTATGTTGAACTAGAATTAGTTTGACCTCAGACTTCTTACTCACAAATGTAATTTAGCATTTGCTGCTCCTTCCCTGTGCTGCTGGGAGGATTACATCAGTTATAAAATAAAACATGACTAGTTATATTTTTGTTGCCTTGCATGACTTCAAAACTGGGGAAAAAAAGCCACAAATCCAACTTCTTAAACTTTTCTATTTATTAGTTTAGACTCTTCATAAAAATTCAAATCCTGCTTGTAAAAAGTTAAAAAGTACTGATGTGTTTTTCTTCTTCAGATAATGTCTCCTACGGCATTGTTTTTGGCTGCAAAAGTGGAAGAACAGCCACGGAAACTTGAACATGTTATTAAAGTAGCAAATGCCTGTCTTCATCCTCAAGAGCCACAACTGGATACAAAGAGTGATGTAGGTGGAAGTCATGGTTTTAAAGATGATCAGATGACACTTCATCTTATGATCTGTGACACTGTCTCACTGGATTATTGCTGTCTGCAGTCTAGGAAAAAGCCTTTTGTTTGTACACCATTTAAGTCTTTTGTATTACTTAATGCAGCGTAATTAAACACTCGTATTTGTTGTTAAACTTGAAAAGATAGCTCCATCTTGAAATTGCATTATTTCTAAGGCTTCCACGTGTAGAGTAGAAGACTGGATGTTTAAATAAGAGGTTTCATATGTGATTCTCTGAGTGACACAGTTTGTGCAGAGCTCTGAGTTCAGGACTCTGTCTCTCAGGCAGAGGTTCACTGTGCCCTCTTGGCTACATGTGATATAGTTGTCAGCTGCTGCCTCTGCTGTGCATTGCTCCTCCTTTCATTTGTCAAAGTTTGTACAGCTTCCACTTACTTGGGAGTTCACATTATCTTTCCTGAGCCACAGGCCAGCTGAGCATCTCCAGCTGTATTTTTCAAGTACTTGTAAAATGAATAACCTGCCCAGAGATACTCAAGTTGTTTTGCACTGGGAAGCCTTTGTAATTCTCACCGTGTTCTGAACTGTCAGTTCTAACTGGGCTGGGTCCTGCTCTGGTGTTGCCAGTACCGGTGTTCAAACAGGCAGCATGATTGAAATTCTCACACAAGGGATTGCTGCTCTTCACCTGTTTGCTTCTCTGTTTCAGGCTTACCTTCAACAAGCCCAAGAGCTGGTTATACTTGAAACGATAATGCTTCAAACTTTAGGTATGTCCTAAATATCTCCTGTGCAGCCAACTAACTATGAAGGAGTAATGGGACCCGAGTAACTGGATTTTTTATGTGCTCTTGATACACTAGAATTTTACTGTGTTCGTGTATAACTTCTGACCCGTGAATTTAGTTTTGTGTTAGCAGTTCTGCTGTGTTCACTTTGGAGAAAAACAGGGGCATCTGTACTTAGGAAATAGATTTTTCTGACAGTTTGAGTTAGAAATGTGTAGGCTTCCAAGTAGATTTTACTCCAAAGTAGTGATTACATTGATATTTCTTTGTGTAAGGTAACACATTACTCTGGGTTAGCTCTGTGTGTGTGTCCTGAAACAACCCATTTAATGGTTCAGATGATTCCCAAATTTGAAATGGAATGTTCTGCTAAGAAATTCTTCTGACTTTAGAATACCTTAGAGACAATTCCTGCTAGCAGACCTGAGAACAGAGACTTGCTCAGATATTCTTAAATACCACTTGGAGTATATTGTTTTTAAAAAAAATAGCTCACAGTAGTGACCTAATTCTTAAGATAGTTTCATAAACAAAGAAAGGTTTTTTAAGTCACTGACCTACAAATTGACTTAATTTGTAATTTCATAGCTGCAAATGGTTTTAAGTCCTAGAAATCAATTAATAAAGTGTGTGCACACACACACGTCTGCATTACAGTTTTTACTGATTTACTAATGTGCTAGAAACTATTCAGATATGTTCAACCTTAAAAATCAGTAATTTCCCAGGTTATATATATATATATATATACAGGCGTTGAGGTGTTCTCCTAATTGATCATGAAGTGGCTATACCATCTGCCATTCAAAAGTATGAAAGGGTGCAGAATAAAAGGCAGTTAAATCCTGCTACTTGTTCTGCAGTGCAAAGTTTTAGTAAGTATTTTAGGTCTGTGGGGAAGCATAAGGGGTTTGGGTTTTTATTTTACAGATGCAAATGTATAATTCTAAAATGTATTTGTAACTCTTCAGGTTTTGAGATTACCATTGAACATCCACACACAGATGTTGTGAAATGTACACAATTAGTGAGAGGTCAGTGACTTTTAACCACTTCTGTAAGTCCTTTTTTACCTTTCTAGTAAAATTTGAAAGTAATGTTCTTTGCGTAATGTGATCTTCACCGTGTTATTTAAAGAGTATGTTTAAAGCTAGTTACTAAAAGCTTGATCTTAAACCTTTAGAGATTAAGATAAAGAGTCCAGTCCTCTATCTTTCATAACTTTTTTGTCTTCTTATAACATTTGATTTTAACAATACCTGTTCCATGTGTTCTCAAGCGACAGAAGCAGTCAGTAGTTGAGAAGTGGTTGGCCAGCTGCTTAGTATTGTTCTGAGCTGATTATTTTCACTCTGAAGTAGTTCTACCAAGTGAAGTTTTGGCTGATGGTAGTTTTTTGGTCTTAGTGAATCTTTTTAGGTAATGAACTGAGGGGTAAAGAGAGTGCATGGCAAGTCTCCTGTCACATGCAAATACTTAGAGATGTGACTAATTGTTTTCCTGGAGCCTGGTGTACTTGTTTTGGATGGTAGCACAAAACCCCAAACCTTTGGTTAAACATATCTAACTTGTATGCAGCTTAATGTGACTGGCAAGAAACCTGTTTTGTTCTTTAATATTTTTGTGGCTTTTTGGCATACCTTCTTTAATTCTTAAATTGGTTTCTTTTGGAGCTTTAAAAAAAAAATTTAAAAATCCTCTCATAAGATGGAGGATGAAAAAATCAGGAATCAGTTGTAAAAGCACCTAAAATAAGCTTTTCACTTTAATTATGTTCCTTAAGTAAAAAGTGTTTGGGAATGATTAGACCATGGCTTTTAGTGTTTAGCCCTTGGCTGGTGTTGCAGTGAAAAATGCAAAGTTAAGTGCTCCAAAGTTTTTGGTGGTTTTTTTCCTTCTATAAAATATACAAAAGTTAGTTACAACTTAATCATGTTAACTAGGTTTGTTTGTAACTCTGGAATTAATGGTGTTCTTTGAAGGGAGAGTATCTCTTATTTTCAAGTAACTTAGTGGTGCAGTGTCTTTAAAGTCTGAGTGGGGCTGGTGCTGTAATTTATTTGCATATAAAGTAGCTTTATTGCTATTCTTGCTATAAGATAATGATTCTCTGCTTTCTGTCCAGATTTGGCTGTGATTTGGGGCACGAGTGTCATTACACCTAAAGCTTCGTCAGCAGCTCTGTAGAGTTTTGCTTTGGGTTTTCTTGGTCAGCGTAAATGTGGGCACATTTCAGTGTTTTGTGGGATCCCCTATGCTTTTGCTCAGTGTGTGGGGCGTGGGCAGGGGTGAAGGCAATGTTGTCCTGCCTCAGATTTCCACATTAGTGAGTGTGTTTGACTGGTACCTACAAGAAGGAAGGCACACTGCTACACAAACTGTGTTTCCTTTAGTCAGGGATAGATACCACTCTGACAGTTCAGCTCTTCCTTTTGTGTTTTGTGTGCTAATCTTTTATACTGGTAAAATTCTTACTTTGAAGGTACTGCTAATTTTTTAATTTGACATTAAAGCTAGTAATTCATGTCAGCAGACTTGAAAAAAATGCTTAGAATTCTAAAATTATATCAAGTCTTAAAATCTGAAGACTTCAGTGAGGGCTGAAAGTCCCTGTGCCTAAAGGAGTGGTGCAAAGTGAATGTAATTTGATCCTTGAAAACCTGCTCACTGAAGTAGCTGAGCTCCTTAGTGTGTGTGCGTATGCAAGCAGAATCCTTGGCAGCACATGCCCCTCCTGGGAATGGTGTAGGTTGAGAACACAAGACTTGAGGATCTAATATTTAAAAAAAAAAAGGAAGCAAATTAATAAATTAATTTAAAACATCAAGCATGAAGTCTGTAGTCATGCATGCAAGTCAGGCAAGGACAGAATAACTGCTGTCTCTTATGTGTTGAGAGAACAGAGATGGGCTTGTGGGCACAGTGATGTATCTTCAAAGACACAGTGGTGTGAGTTTAGTTCTCTATCCATGAGATAGTTATTATTGGGCAGTGTGGGTTTTTAATGTCAGTAGATGCAACACTCAGATATTTATATCTAAGTCCTGAAGCTTTCAGTGGCTAAGACTTGTCAGTGTTAAACCATTAGTGCTAAAGGGATTGACTGAGAAGTTAAAGAGAGCCAAGGTTACTTCTTCCAGTTCTGATAACATCACCTTGGACAAAAAGCACCATTTCAGAGTGCAGAGATACCCTTTTTTATTAAAGGTGATTAACTTATCCAAGACCATTGTGATTAAAACCTCCAGCTGCATGTTTGGGGAGAGAAGGGAGGGAGGAATGTGATGTGGCTGATGTGCCTCTGTTTATCAAAAGAGAGGCAGCAAAGTTAGCTGAGGTATGGGAATGTACTTAAGGACTTGGCTCAGGGTGTGTGCACTGCATTGCCATGTGGTGCCTAAACTGCAGTGCCTCAGAGGATGGCTGATTCTCTGTATCACTTTTTGTTGTCTTGCATCCAGGGTAGTGTGTTTTATGCTGTCACTGTTACCTGTATTAACCTTTAAGCTACTCCCTTTTAAAAACAAAATGAAAAACATGAAAATAAAACCCAGATTCTATTGTTCATGCTCAAAAGGTTCAGCCAAGTCCTTTGTCAGAAGACTCTCTAGTCTGGTAGTGGCACACCAGAGGTAATTGCTGGAAGCTGAAGATGAACTAAGAAGTGGGAATAGGTGAAAATAAACATAATTGCTTCAACACACAACTAAAGAAGAAGTTGAATTCTTCTCTAAGATTGAAAGCCTTTTTGAAGGCAGTGTTAGACAGCAGGGGTCATTGCAGATAAGAAGTGACTGGATGGATACATAATGACTCATGATGTTCAGGCATATGGTATCCAGTTATTCCTTCTGGTGTTCAGAGACTCCTGGGTTAATGAAATTGTTCCACCTTTACAATTTGGTCAGTAGAGCAGACGAGGAAAATGGTGTGGGCTTAGTCTTTTTTCTGCACCGTTCTTCCTCAGTGTCAAGAGACTGAGAAGAGGAGACAGGATCATCATTCCTTAGGATCCCACAGGTCCTCTAAGGAATCTGAAGACAGTGGATGTGAGGGCCTGTCAGCAAGCCTCAGTGCCCATTCCAAGAATTCTCCAGTACTGAAGAGAAGAGGAAAAAAAAACCACTAAAACACCAAAACCAGTTTTGTTGTCTATCTCCCTTGCTGGCTTCAGTGCTGGCTGAATGATCAGCAGTGAAGCTGCCCTAATGCCAAGACCATGACATGGTCCTCTTAAGCTCTGGTGCAGAATCAGTCTGTTCTCAGCCTGCTTCTGGTGAAACTTGAAAGGGAGGAATCTGTATCCTCATCTCCATCTTGGGAAGTCTTCAGTCATTCCTTTTTCTATGTTGGAACACAACCTTTTGGAACTGAAGATGGGATCTCAAGGATTTCTGGGATTGTTCTCGCTACTCTGCAGGTTATCAGGTACCTTGAACACCCATGATCCTTACTAATCTTTTGTGGAAATTGCACTGTCAAATCCTTCAAACATGCCATAGTATCTGTGTGCACAGGTACCATTGCTTAAATCAGGCTGAGAAAGACAAGGTCAGCAGAAGAGGAGACAAAAATGCATCAGCTTTTTCAGAGGGTATTCACATGAGGAAAATTTAAGTCTTAGTGTACTAAGTGGTGTGGAAAGATCTGAAACCCCAGCTGCACTCCAGCACTGCTGCAGGTGGCCTTCACATGCTGGACTTTGACCTCAGGCTTTTACAGGTCTGTTCCCAGGGTTTTAGTACTTTCAAGAAAATAAAGCCACCAGAACTGCTCAGACCTAAATGCCTACACCATGGCCTGCTCCAGCCCTTTCCAGATACAGCAGGCATCCACCAGCAGACCTCTGTTCAGAGCCTGGGGCTCTTTTCCTTTGGCCAGAAGGACTTCAGCAAGCTCCTCTCTCCTGATGCTGACTGGCTTATCTGCCATCTCCTCTTTCCGGGGAACGCTTCCAAATGTTGGCAGGGTCCAGGCATAGCCACCTACCACCCTCCTAAGGGGGACTTGGCAGTCACATTTTCATGAGTGTCCCAAAATCCAAGATAAGCTGTGTTGAAGAAAAGACTCAGATATCTTGGAATTGCAACCATTGTATGGCTCTGCCCAGTAAAAAGCATTTTGGTTTCCAGTTGGCAGTTTCTTGGAGGCGGCCTTTTGGAAGGTGTATTGGACAGCAAGTCCTGTTCCAAAATATTGATTCCAACTTCAGTGATCCCCTGCCTTATGGTTGCTTCTGCAGCAGTGGGACAGGGTGGATGTTTCAAATCCCTCTGAACTGCTAAAATCACAAGCTGGTCGTTACTGGCTGGTGTCATAGCCATCGGTCCTGCGGCTTGTGAGTTTTAAGAGCAGCTCTGTTGGCTTGTTTGAGCCTCTGCTTCAAGATGATTGGAATTTGGAGATGCACTTTTCACTACTATAATGGAAGTAAAACATGAAAATAGAGGAACCAAAATTCATTAGCTTTAATTTCTGTGATGGATTCTGCTAAACCAAACCTGTCCTAAATAGAAGAGTTTGGGAGGGATGTTTTCAGTTGTGCCTTGTGTTATCAAAGGCTTCAGTTGTGAGCTGAAATTTCTTGTTGGTTTTGCAAATGATGGTTATTTAGCTGTAAATAAGTTGAAACAATATCATACTACTTGTAGTATAGGTAAGGTATTTAGCACATTAACTTTTGATTGGGGCCAAAATGTGTGTTTCAAGATATGATTCTTTTCTTCCAGGGATGTGTTTTGATTTACTCAACTTCCAAGCTGATGTTAAATAGAAGTTTTCTGGCATCTGCTTTTCTTTCTTGTTCAAAAGGGACATTTCAGTGAGAGTAGAGATGCTTCTTGGTCCCAGTCCCTTAATACAAACATATAACTTTACAGAGTGTATAAATCATTGAAGCTCCTTTAGACATTGCTTTGATGAAAAATGAAGAGCAAGTCATCAATTTGAGTCTCACTGAACCACTGTGTATTTTCATTTGTTTTGTTATGACAGTGTCATTTCACTTCTTTTTTTGGTAATTCCACTTTACATTTCTTTAGTTGTGAGGGAGAGGCAGAGGTTATTTGGTATGCAATTACCATTATAGTTTGCAAACTAAATATTATAGTATAACACATTGTGAGTTCACCTTCTGATTACTATGGATCAGTAGAATTTGTGTGTGGGAACAGATCCTGTTACCTTGCTACTTCCACATTCTTCTGGGATTATGGCACTGCCTGGCTGTTTAGCATAAAGACAAATCTGATTTGTACTCCCTGGCAATCATTAGAAGTTGAGTTAAATCACATTTTATTATTATGCTATTTAAAAATTAAAGTTTAAAAGCTGCTGTAGTATTTCTCAAACTTTATGGAAATATTATTATTAAAATAAAAGCTTAACAATGTTCCCTTTGACATAAAATTCAACACTACGCTCTCTGCAGGTAGCACTGATTTCAAGTGATAGTGTCAAAGTAAGACTTGAATGAAGGCTGCATTCAATCTGCCTTGTGCCCAGCTATCCCATTAATGCATGTTACAGTAAGTTCTCTTACCTGAGTGAGCAGTTGGGGTGTCACTGCAGGGGTCAGCACTACGTGGCTGTAACAGCCTGAGTCAGTAGCTTTTCATTTCTGGCATGTTGCAGTCCTGTGTTTTGGTTTGGTTTTTTCCTGACTAACTAAAATGAAGTTTGTTTTCTATTGAAGCTTTGCCATAGGTTTAAGAAATGTGGAGCAAAAAGTTCTGAGCACAGTGCTCTTAATTAGAAGGAGCAGAAAACTGATTTTTTTTTTTTTTTTTTGCCCTCTAGCTTGGGGACTTGTGGTGTTGTAGGGCTTTGGGAGAGAGACATTGCTCTGGTTTTGGGGAGGTTTGGGGAGTGGGAGGGGTGTCCTGCCATGCTCAAGAGCAGGATGTGCACTGTGCTGTGAATGGGCTGTGAGTGATCTGTCCTGCAGCCCAGGGAATGGCAGGGATCACCTAGAGGTGAGGGTTGGGAAGCAGCGCTTCCCAGAGGAGAGTGCTCTCATCTTTGAGGCATTGGAGGGGTTGGATCAGCAGAGGGAGGGGCAGTGAATGGAAGGACTGGTCCAGCTCCAGTACTGAATGTAAGGGCCTCTTCTGTGTCTCAGAAAAGATTATTTTGAAGGCTAGTTAGCCAGATTCAGATCAGTTCTGTAGCAATTCCCAGCAGTGATTTTGGAAGATAAAACTGCTCTAATTTTGGAACGAACCTGACGAGTTTGTGCCGATTTTTAATCTCCCTGTTTTTCTTTTCTTACAGCAAGCAAGGATTTGGCACAGACATCCTATTTCATGGCTACCAACAGGTTGTTATCCTGAACCTCTTTGTTGCACTGTTGTAGCACACTATAGCTTCCTTTACTGCAGGGCCCCCTCCATGTGTCTTACCCTTGTTGCAGCGGGAGACTGGGCCATCTCCAGTGGTGGTTCCTTCCCGCCTGCAGTGCGGTGTATTGGACAAGGGCCTCGTGGCACAAAGGGGTTAAATGCACAATGAGAAGTGTAGTGGTGCTTTCTGATGACATTTTCTCGATTGTGAGTGCATAAATCTAAAATTGGTAGCCTGAATAGCAGCTAAAGATTACAAAGAGATAAACTTAACCTAGAAATCCGAGCATCTTGGTAAGTACAAAACTATTTTTAGTTTACACTTGTAGTTAATGGCAGTTTTCTCTTAACTTTAAATATATTGATCCAATCTTAACTTATAAAACCGTAGTGGGCTTAAGTTCTTTTCAGCTGGCTGATTTTTCTTTTTAGATAGACTAGTACAAGCCCAATGTTCTTCCTTTTAAAAACAGCTCTTTAATCTTAATATACAGTTTTAAAACTTAGGTACTTAGATAAACGTAAGTTCTAGGATTTCAGATGGGTATTGTGTATACATAGCCTGGCACAGAAAGAACTAGAGAGCAGACTTCACTCTTGATTTCTTGATTACTTCAACTTCTTGCCAAACAACCTGAAGCTTTATTTAAGAGGATTACATTATGTGTACTTAGATTTTGGGCAATATCTGCTGGTTATTAGAACTATACAAAATAAATCAGTCAATCCTGGTGGTTCCTTGATGGGCAAGATTCTGTACTTAAACATCTGTTAAGTTGTGCTAAAGCAGTGAAACTGAGCCAGTGTATTTTGTGCTGCTGCCAGCTGGAAGCTGAAGACAAGTTCACAAATGTCACAAATACAGGCCTATGAAAGCCAAGCCCACAAGTAATTCACCTGGTTCTGTGGAACTGCTGGGACCTTCTGATTGTCTCATTCAGAGACTGCAGAATCAGCTGTATGCTTTTTACTGTGGAGTTTTAATTGACCATATTATACTTCTTTCTTTTTAGTACTGAAGTACAGTAGAATAACTGTTAAATTTATTTACTGTTCATCAGACTTTTGATAGCAAAAGCAAATTAAACTTTTCTGCCAGATAAATGCCCTGCCCTTTGTTTTCTTAGGGCAGTAAGATATCTTATGAACTTATTTAGCAAAATGTTGAACTGCTGTTGCATGATGAGTTGCCTCATTCTATCTGTTAATGGTTGATTTGTTTGGGTTTTCTGTTTTTCATGTTTGATTTCCTTTGGTTCCTCATTACGAAATTTGTGCAACAGTCTTCACCTTACTACGTTCTGTCTTCAGTACAAGCCCACAGTGATAGCATGTGTGTGCATTCACTTGGCCTGCAAGTGGTCCAACTGGGAGATTCCAGTGTCAACCGATGGGAAACACTGGTGGGAATATGTAGATCCTTCAGTTACTCTAGAACTGCTAGATGGTAAGTGATACTGCCTTTCACATCTGGAAACTCAAGGGTTTATTATTCAAGAGAGATGCAAGGATTGGGAACATATTATACAGTAAGAGCTTTCAGCCTAAATTAAGTCTCACTGACTTCATGTACCATATTGTCAGGGGAAAGAAAGGGATAGGAAAGGGGAGAACTTTGGAAGACAAACTTGGGTTTGAGACCTTTAGTTTGAAGGGGCATCCTTTTGTAGGTGCAGGTCAGAATCTTGGGTTTAAATATTTTTCAGAATCAAGAATGATGGAAATGTACCAGTGCAAATTCCTGTAGTCCTGGTACTGCACTGGAGCAGAACAGTCGTTTCAGTCACAGTGTTCACAGGGGTGTACATAAAACCACCATGTTCACAAGGGCAGTTCTGCATTAACAATTTGGCATCACTTGTGGTATCTCAAATGCCTGTAAAATAGTTTTTCTTGTCAAAAGGCTTTTCCTGAAGAAAGCAAACACCCAGAACTCCACATACCTGGAAGTTTACTGTCTTTTGAAATAGCACCTATTGCAGAGCAGTCTGGATTTAAGGCCCACATATGCTGCTGGAGTGGTAGTGGGAGCTCCTGAGGCTTTCAGATCCACGTGCACTTTGTTGATCCTGGAGTGAAACGTGCATTTTGGAGTAGTGGTGGAGGTCTCCAGGCTTCCCATGGCCCAGCATGGCTCCCTATGGCCTGCTGCTTTCCTCTGCAGAGCTTTTCTTTCTTAATGGCAATTTTTGGGTTTTTTTGTAAGTGAGAAATTGAGTAGATGTCATGTGAAGCACAGAACTGGAGTGAACTTCAGAGTGCAGGTTCAAACATCTCTGTCTTAATGGGCATCTTGAAGTTGTATCTAGTTCCAACTACCACCCTGCTTCCTTCCTACCTGGCTGTGGGTTTGTGGATTTGGAGGGAATGCTGTGAGCTCATTGTGAACTTGGCTCTATTCTTCAGGCATTTATGGAGCTGGTGTGTTTGATGGACTCAGACAGACCAAAGGCCTGAGGCAGTTGTGCACTTGGGAGCAGCTTAGTTTATAATTTGTTTGTGGAGTTCTGGAGAAGCCAGTTCTTCCAGACCTGCATTCAAATTCTGACTGTACTTAATTATTTTTAGCTTAGGAGTAAAATTAA